TGGGCGGCTCTTGCCCTGGGCTATTTTCAGAGTCCTACCAGTTCAACCAAAAGGAACCCAGCAACTTTCTTGGAATTGTGAAGTCCTCTAGCCCTCTGCATCTCATTCACTGGGAGCTGCATTCCAGTGTTGCCTCCTCTCGGCCACCTTGGCGTGCCTCCTGGGTATTAGAAAGTCTTGCTGTGATGTGCTTTGCCCTCCAAACACTGAGCTAAGGAAGGTGTTCATTAGGTGTCAACTTGATTGCATCGAGCGATGCCTAGATAGCTCATATAGTATTGTTTCTGGGTGTGTCTGTGATGCTGTTGCCAGAGGAGAGTAATTTGAGTCAGTGGATGGGGAGAGGAAGACCCATCCTCAAGCTAGGTGGACGCCAGTGAGGCTAGAACAAAGTAGTTGGGAGGTGAGATAAGCTGGCTTGCTGAGTCTTCTGGCTTTCATCTTTCTTCTGTGCTGGATGCTTCCTGCCCTTGGACATCAGACTTCAGGTTCTTTGGCCTTTGGACTCTTGGACTTACAACAGTGGTTGACCAGGGGCTCTCAGGCCTTTGGCCACAGACTGAAGGCTGCACTGTTAGCTTGTCTGCTTTTGAGGCTTTTGGTTTGAACTGAGCCACTACAGACTTCCTTGTTTCTCAGCTTACAGACGACCTGTTGTGGAGCTTGGCCCTGTGATCATGTGAGCTAATTCTTAATAAACTCCCTTTCATATATACATCTATCCTGTTAGGCCTGTCCCTCTGGAGAACCCTAATACAGTGTTAGAAAACCAAAAGGTGAGCGTGTTTAATTTGGGGGCTTTTAAGCAACAGCACATCCCATGATTAAAAAAAGGATAGCTTGTATATTTGTAATAAACTCCGAAACTACACTGATAAACACTGCAAAACACATTAGTTGATATTTTTTGAGATCAGATGTCCCTTGTTAAACCATCTTGTTGATTTTAATGTAGCTATAAAAAGGATCTTTATTTAGAAAAGATTTCTAAGACATTTTGTGGAAAGTAATTGTAAAACTTCTTAGCTCTTTCATTCTTAAAAACTCCCTTGAAACAAATTTTGTTGATGTTTGTCTGCTCTATTATTTCATGAAGAGCAAAAGAAAAATAAAATTAGCCTAATTAAAAAACAATTAAACTAACAGCTAATATAGGCCAGGACTAACTACACTCAAGGCTTTCTCCCAAGCATTTCACATGAAGCAACATTTCATCCTTCCAACAACCAGCGAGGGAAGGACCATTAGGCTCCGTTTTCAGAGAAAGAGCTTGACGCACACAGAAGTTAGCTTGTCCACGGTCACATAGCAAGTAAAGGGCAGGGCAAAGCCAGGATGCAAAACCACACAAGGCCACCTGGCTCCAAAGCTCCCGGGTAGAAGCCAGTGGGCTGCCCTGGCACAGCAGCCGGGCCTTCCTGGAACCAGACAGCAGTGGGGAGGCTGCTCTGCTGCATCTCACCTCTCGCCTCCACCTCCTGCCCTGGGGTTTTCAGCAGCCCTGAGCACCACTTCTTCAGGGGACCGTCAGTAGAGAGAGGACAGGCTTAAGTTCATTTTTTACATAAATGTTTTTGGTGTTAAAACTTCCCAAATAAGGCCAGGTATGGTGGCTCATGCCTGTAATTTCAACACTTTAGGAGGCTGAGGTGGGAGGATTGATGGAGGCCAGATGTTTGAGACCAGCCTGGGCATAAATATTGAGACCTTGTCTCTATATAAAATTAAAAAAAAAAAAAAAAGGTGGGCATGGTGTGTGTACTTGTAGTCCCAGCTACTTGGGAGGCTGAGGCAGGAGGATTGCTTGAGCTCAGGAGTTTGAGGCTGCACTGAGTTCTGATCGTGCCACTACATTCTAACCTGAGCGTAGAGTAAGACCTTATTTCTAAAAAATAGACTTCCTGAGTGAAAACATCTAATACTATGTTGCTATGTAATACTGACCAGAGGCTAACTATGGAAAATAAATCTTAAGGTCATGGAAGACATATGTCTTTTAAGTATCCATCTTAGTAAAATTCATTACTCAATTCAATTATGCTGGATTTTTCCCCTTGCTATATGCTTAGAAAAGAAGGAAAATGCACCTCTGTTCAAAAACTTGTAAGAATTCAAAGAAATTTTTAAAAACTTCAAATTTTAGGATGACTTTTATTTACAAAACAGACTGAGTCTTTTGTTTTACAAAAACTATAAAAAAATGACTTGACTTTTAAAAATAGAAATAGCTTTTCAGACTCTTGGGAACTACTTTTAAGCAACCGAGCAGTTAGAACTCAGATGGTTTTCTTCTTTGTAACAGTAACAATGACCACGGCTGTGTGCCATGTCAGTTCGGCTGTGTGTCTTCACCTAAAATTACACAGCCCCAAGCTGTCTCTGGCAGAAAGGTCTCCACTCAGGTCAGAGTCTGAAGGAGCAAGATCTTCTCATTAATGCAGAACCTGTGCAGAACCACCATCAGATTCTCTCCACAGCGGGAGACCTGGCGCTCCATGGCCAGGCGAAAGTCCTCCTTCACGCCTTTGGTGATGCCTCGAGTTACCGTGTGGTGCCTGAGGTCAGTGACAGGGAAACAGACAAAGACCAGGGATTAGCACCAGCATCACTGATCACTGCTACTTGGGTAGGAATAAAACCTGCCCCATATCTAAGTTAAGATATTTTTTAAAAGAACAAAAGAATAGCTGCCACCAACCAAACGTTCCAACCCATTCCTTTTCAGAAAGACTTAAAACTAGTCAGACATCTTACCCACTCTATAAAAGATTATTCCAAACATTTAATTGTCCAATAAAATGCTACCTGCTTTGCCTTTGAATCCTGGAAGCTCTGTTATGCTTCCCTACTGCTGACTGGTACACAATTCAGTAACTTAAGGCCAAATGGGTCCAGTCCACACTGGCTACAGAGGGCTTGTGTCCAGCCAGGCCAGGAGACCCTCCAGAAATAGCAGCAAGGAGGAAGGGGACCTGAATGAGCCCATCATGCAAGTGAGCCCCTCCCATGGCCCCTGCAGCTGGTGCTCCCAGAAAGGTTCAGGGCTCTTGCACAGCAGGGGTCACAAGCACATTTGTTTCCCCAGGACACCAGAATAGGGCAGCTCCTCTAAATGCTGTGCCCATCTAGACTCTCATGTGTTGGACAAAATGAAGGGGGAGCTGAGGTCCCGACACAGAATGTGGCACAGGTCAGAAGAGAGGCAGAATCTCTGAGGACCAGAAGCAGTGGACTACATGGTCATAGGCTGTCTGGCACTCACAGGACACCTGCACGTGTATGGAAGGAGTGGTGGGGACGCAGGCTAAAAAGGTCTCTACGCCCCAAACGTTGTGCTTTAGAAAAAGAAATCACACATGAAATCCCAGGAAACAGAAGAAACAAAATGAAGAAAGGAAAAGAAAAATTGAGTAAAACTCAGTCAGTTCAGTTAAGAGGAAGGGAGTTTTATCTACTAGCTCAGCAATTTGGTGGACTTAGACAAAGAAGTCACCTCTGTTTCCCACCCTGCTGTCTAATTTCCCTCGCACAAAGTTATACGGATTGAAACCGAAGATTTTTATGATTCAGGGCTAGATAAAAGTGTTGAAATTACTCTAAAATGTTTCTGTTTTAAAAAACTTATATTAATTACCATATAAAGTAAGGACAACAGGAGTCACCAAGTTGTAAAATAACAGAAGGAAAAAACCAGCTTTGTTACATAAGCTATTACAGAATCTTCTGATGCTCATGGATGTTTTAAAGAGCTACCAGGGAAAACGGCATGGAGTAAATGTGGTGTGGAGTAAAGGTGCACTTCTTTGTGAATGTCTCTTGTCAAGTCTGGGTGGGTGGCTCCATAGTTAGGACACAGCATCCCACTGGGATCGATGTGAACCACTCATGCTGCCCTGAGATACTGCTCTTCTGGGTCCCAGGCTGCAACTTCAAACCGGGGCCGGCCCTCTGACCAAGTGGAGGTTATTGGCATTGGCAGTTAGCTAAAGGCAAACCCTCCTTCTTTTCTTTTGAAATGGCGTCTTGCTCTGTCACCCAGGCTGAAGTGCAGTAGCATGATCTCAGCTCACTACAACCTCTGCCTCCCGGGTTCAAGCAACTCTCGTGCCTTAGCCTCCCGAGTAGCTGGGATTACAGGCACATGCCACCACGCCTGGCTAATAAACCCTATTTTTAAAAGCACTAAAAATATAACTAAATATTATATTTAATATAAATAAATAACTAAATGCTACATCCTGAAGATCAGGGTCCAATTGTACTATCTCCATATATACAGAGTGGCACAACTCAGTTACATTTCTATTAGAGCCTCTATCACTCCGGTGTTAGGATGAAGAAGAGAATTAGTAAGCTTTTGTGGTTTAAGAAAAGGATAAACGAGCTAATAAATGTGACATTTTAGCCTATCACATAGTTTCAATTCAGAAAGGTAAGGTCTCAAAAAAACATCAGTAGCAGGAAGAAACCATACTTGTGCCTATTTAGATCCCAGGCAAGTAATGGCTAATAGGACCATAATGACTGGTCACTCATATGAATATACACAAAAATGTACTTAAAATAAACGTCAGCATCTTTAAATATATATGACTGAAAGCCTTAAGGTTTTGTCAAAAGAGAATCATAGTGCACCTGAGCTAATGTGCACTGAATTGATACAGTTTTATATAGCTTTCATTTTTTTTTCCAGATCCATAATGATTTTTAAATCGAACACAAACACACTGGCAACTTATGGATAAAAATAAGAAATGTTACAATATTACAACCAGATGGTTTGCCAAAATGCAGAACAAAGTAAAAAATAAATAAAGCATGAAAAAGAGCACTGAGGAACAAAGAGCTGAGAACCATGGGCAGTGAACATGTTGACAAACAGCACACTATGAGCGGGCGTTTATTCCACTTGGTACCTGTCAGCAGTCTGTATGCTGGGCTGAAGCACAGGTAAGAATTCCTGCTGCAGCAACCCCATGGGAGGGCTAGAAGGCCTTAAAAAAACAGCAAACAGCAGCATTCAAACACCCACACCGACTCACCCTGCACTGCAAAAACAACACTCCAGAGAAAATACACAAGACTGGAAGCAGACTAAACAGAAACTTGTTAACCTCAACAAGCCCCTGGCCACGGCTGGGTGTTTAAGGAGACTGGGGAGAAGCTAGCCAGCCCTCACTGCACCTGCTGCTGCTGGTGCATGTCCAGAGTCGTCTCAGTTCCTGGTCCCAGAGCTCAGCCCCCTTGTGATGTGGTATAAAAAGTGGCCAGGGAGGAAGAGGACGATGGAATGTAGCTGAATGGCAATAGGGGGCAGGGGCAGCCTTTGAGAAGACACATTTTCAAAGCCAGCCTCTTTACTTTCCACTTTTCTCATGGTGTACCAGTCCCAGCATTCAGCCTGGTGATGTCTGGTAGCCACCTTTAACAGGACTGCAGCCCCACTGGAGAGGACTTTCCAAGAGGATTAAAGGGTCTGGCAAAGTTTTTGATTTAAAAAAAAAAAAAAAAAAGGTGAGTTTGAATTTCAAAAACGTATTGAGAACAGATGAGGGGAAAATAAGAGTCCGGGACCCATGGCTGTGCGGAATTCTGTAACAACAAAGATTTAGTGTATTAGCTGGTGATCACCTCATTGAACATTATCATTGACCCTATTCAGAGTATAAGTAGGACATTGTTTTCCATTTTAATCCACTCTAATACAACTAAGATACTGCATGTATCAGCATAGAAACATTTTTCTATTTTAAAATACTTAAGAGCAAAAGGTCTGTATAACAGATAAAGAGCTTCTCCCTCCGTTGAGTCAAGCACCGGGTGCCCTCATGTTGGTACTGTACCTGCTTGCATCCCAGATGCCACAGCTAAGGTGGACTCAGCCTTACCCCAGGGGAGGAGTGCACATGCTCACAACATCTCTGCTACTCATCTGGAGGGACCACCCAAAAGGTCTGGAATGGCTTCAGAGCATTTGTTTGGAACCCAAAGGGAAAAGGAATTGACATTGTTTAATGAAGATTCCAACCATTCCTCAGTTAGGAAGAGCTCTCTGTCTTAAGCAGTGTGCTTCTACCATGTTAATTTAGGCATAAGCAATTAACTTTGAGATTCACACAGTGAAGACTGGGCAAATCTCTACAAGGTCAGATTACTAGGGAATAATCCCTATTCTGGCTTCCAAACTGATGAAACTGCAGCTTCTTGTATAGAAAGTTAGAAGAAAGTAAGGGTTATGCCGATCAACGTGGGAGAGCCTAGTGTCATCCCTTAAAAGTTAGAAGTGCATGATGGGTGTCCTTTACACAAACAGTTCCAAACACCTTTCCCTGTGATACTAGCTAGTACCCAACACTCCCCTGCTCTCATTCCTCATCCTAGGGATTGTCCGCATGGACTTACGTCACTGTTCAGCTCAGTAAAAACTGGTAAAAGAAGAACGGTTCAGTACAATGAAGACTGAGGTTCAGCTGTTGATTTTTTGACAATCCATCTCTCACACTTGCACAAACAGTTAAGCATTATCTAGGTAAAGTGATAGTCATCTGTAGGTTTAATCCTATCTACACAGACGTGGGTACCACTATGGCTGTCTCTATATTAATTCGTATGGTGACTCCTGATGAAAATTAACTAAACAGCTTTATTCAGGGTGTATTTGTATATCCAGTTTCAAAGTCTAGAAAACAAATCACAATACAAAAGGGGTTACCTGGGCTCCCGTATCCAAAGGTAATCTTTATCCCCAAACACTGTTAAGAATATTTGGAACAACAGAGTTATTCTTCCCATAGTTTTGATTCACGATCTTAGAAAAGTAAATGGAGATGGGAAGATGCCAGTCCTTGTCCATCCTGCTTAAGCAACCCAATGCAGAAAGGGCTCATGTATTTTTAAAGAGAACATTGTTCTTTTATTTTAAAAGTTTATAATTTAATAACAATAAGATGAAAGGAAAAAAATAAAACTTAATCTTTCCATTCTTGAGAATGGATTCCAGGAGACCCTATTCCTGCTAGACATAAAAAGAAATGTTTGTTATGCAGCAAATTACTAAGGTTACAGAAATCTAAAATGAACATTTCTTCTTTCTCTAGACATTTTTCTAAGACTATCAAGATAGAGCAAGACGTGGTTTAGCTTTCAACAACTGAAAACTAGTTTCTTCCACAATTGAGGGAAAAAGAAAAATGTTTGTAGCTTTAGCGGTACTTTCTTCTCGCTCAGGGTTCAGTCTCTTGGAGAAACTCTAACACTGACTTACAGACACACTGAATGTGCAGGAAGCAAAGGAGGAAGTATGAAAATAAAACTTCACGTGGCATTTACAGCAGAGAGGATATATTACCCAAACTACAATGAGGATTGAAGGAGAGAAGCAAGATTTATGAGCTATTTAAAAATCATAAATGGTCACTAATTTGGCATTTTAATTTGGGCAAACCCAGAATTTTAGTAACATCCTGTGGGTGAGGGGAGGATGATGGAGACCAACCACTGGCACCATCATTTCTTGACAGGTGTGTTCTCAGAGGCACTACACCTGTCTATTTTATTAATACTTCATATTATGTAAGTAATGAAGATTGCATAGGAGGGCTTCCTAGATAGTTTATAAATAAAAAGTCTAGTTTTTTCTAAAGAATTTTTCTAACCCAGCACAATTTTAATTAAGTACAGCTGTTTTTTTTTTTTTTTTTTGAGACGGAGTTTTGCTCTTGTTGCCCAGGCCGGAGTGCAATGGTGCTATCTTGCCTCACTGCAGCCTCTGTCTCCTGGGTTTAAGCAGTTCTCCTGCCTCAGCCTCCTGAGTAGCTGGAATTACAGGCACCTGCCACCATGCCCAGATTAATTTTTTTTTTTTTTTTTGTATTTTTAGTAGAGATGGGGTTTCACCATGTTGGCCAAGTTGGTCTCCAAGTCCTGGCCTCAGGTGATCCGCCAGCCTCCGCCTCCCAAAGTGCTGGGATTACAGGCGTGAGATACCTTGCCCGGCCACTCAGCTGCTCTTAATTAAAGGCACTCTGTGCCTAATCAGAAATTTACAGAATCACCCTGTAAATTTTTTTAAAGGAAAAGTTATCATGAATGAGACTTTTGTCTGTGAAAAAGTTGCAAATGTGACAAAAATACCCCAATTTTAGCAAAGTGTTTGAGAAATGTAGTTAAGGAAATGCGAGTCTTTCAAAAGGTACCCAGAATCAAACTGACTGTCAAAACGGAGACCAGGTTCAAAGTCCTTTGTATTAAATTTTTGATAGGTATAGACATTTACAAATACTTCATACAAAGACACAAAAGGTGAGCACTCAGCATGGAAGAGCAAAAGAGAGCATACTTACTTGATCAGCATTCCTTGATTGGGTAGTAATTCCAGATGAATTTTCCCACCTTCCTGCGTTCTCAAGTAGGCAAATTCCTCCAGCATATCAATATCTGCAGGCCAGATCAGGTTGACCACATGTAAAAAAATGGTGCCAGTTCTCTCTGATGAGGAAATGGGATCTCAGCAATTGAATAACTTGCCCATCACCATCCCACTATCTGCAGATTCCATATTTGAACCTAGATCTGTCGGATTCCAAAACCTGATTCTCTTTTTTTTTTTTAAGACAGAGTTTTGCTCTTGTTGCCCAGGCTGGAGTGCAATGGCACAGTCTCGGCTCACCACAACCTCTGCCTCCCAGGTTTGAGCGATTTTCCTGCCTCGGCCTCCTGGGATTACAGGCACCTGCCACCATGGCAGGCTAATTTTATATTTTTAGTAGAGACGGGGTTTCTCCATGTTGCTAAGGCTGGTCTTGAACTCCTAACATCAGGTGATCTGCCCACCTCGGCCTCCCGAAGTGCTGCATTATAGGTGTGAGCCACTGCACGCAACCTCCAAAACATGATTCTTATACCCACCAAACTCCCTTGTACTGATAATTCTTGGCATGAGACATGCCAGGCTAAAGGGCATGAGGAGATGTTTTCCATATGGATGATAATTAAATACATGGTCCAAGAGCAAACTTTTTTTGTTTTCTTAATAAGAAATGACAGACGTGGCAAAAGTAGGGAGGGTCATTTGGTGTTACAGAACATGACATTCATAAAAATAAAATGATTACTTCTTCATAGCTGGTGTGCAAGGATTTTTAGATGCATCAGGGGAGGAAGCTTCTGCGAGTCACCCAAATTTTATGCAAAATGTCGATGACATTCATATATGCATTTTTCTAGTGAAAAATTACGTTAACTTTCATCAGACTCTCAAAAGATATCTGTCCTAAAAATGGTGAAAAACTATTATTTTGGTCTGGCAGGGTAGTGCATGCCTGTAGTCCTAGCTGCTCAGAAGGCTAAGGCAGGAGGTCTCTTGAGCCCAGGAGTCTGAGGCTGTAGTGTGCTATGATCATGCCATGATACTTGAGCCTGGGTGACACAGCAAGACCCTGACTCTAAAAAAATAAAAACTGGCCAGGTGCGGTGGTGCACACCTGTAATCCCAGCACTCTGGGAGATCGAGGCGGGTAGATCACAAAGTCAAAAGATGGAGACCATCCTGGCCAACATGGTGAAATCCTGTCTCTACTAAAAATACAAAAATTAGCTGGGCATGGTGGTGTGGGCCTGTAGTCCCAGCTACTCGGGAGGCTGAGGCAGGAGAATCACTTGAACTTGGGAGGTGGAGGTTGCAGTGAGCCGAGATCACGCCACTACACTCTAGCCTGATGACAGAGCGAGACTCTGTCTCTAAAAAAAAAAAAAAAAAAAAAGATTAAATAAAAAAAATAAAAACTATTGCTGTGAGCACCTGAACAAGAAGATCATTTACATTCCTTGCAATTCAAAAATAATTGGTAAGATAAGCAATGAAGTAAAAACACTCAAACTGATAAATAACCTTTAACTCAAAAGTCTTTCCCTAATAAACAGTGTGAAGTAGAGCATTACCTAACATTAGAAGCAGCTCTTGGGCTGTGCAGCATCTTTGGTGGGTACTCATTGGGAGAAAAGACAGCTGGGGCAGGGTGCCCTAACAAGAGATTGCAGGGCACAGCCACTGTCCCGAGAGGCCACAGGAGGCATGCTTTGATAAGATGGAAGAGGAACTATTAACATATCCATGGCTAAACCAGCCAAGCTGGACCTATCAGCAACCTGTAGGCCATCACTGTAGGCATCTTGGCCTTCTTAGAAGCCAGCTAGCAGTGGATGGAAGAGGGTTGTGAGTTCCCAATTCTTGAATCATGTCATTTACAACTTTCACAAGATCAACTGCTACAGCCCCGGTTTTAATCCCCATTCCTTCTCTTCCCCCCCAAAATAGTAAAAATCATTATTTCTATCCAGAACGGTTCATTCATTTTTAAACATGTATTCATTCTAAAGAAAATCAGAATGTGTTATGCTTAAACAAGAAAAAAGGATACTTGTAACGTAATTGAAAAAATTCTCATATTGGAAATTTCCTTGTTGGCAAATTTTATTGACAGCTTTCAGGAAAAGGTTCTCGCCCCGTGGCCACTCTTGCTGAAGCAACACAATCACATGCCCCAGTGCCATGTCGTCTCTGTTGTCTGTGAAAGCTCTAAGCTGCAGTACAAAGATTTATACAAGACAGAAGGAAAAGGAAGTCACAGGATTATCTGAAATACACCAAACATCACTTTCTGAAAACATGATCTATATGCAAATGTGTGATAAAGGTCATTAGAGTAAGAAGGAAACAAAGTCAGAACGAAATGGCTGGTAAACATCACAGCTGCCTCCTAAGGAGGGTGGATTCTAACCATCTTTTGTTAGAAGCCTCAGACTCCCTCTGGGCTGTGCACAGCCGCTGGCAGTGTATGTAGATGGGAGTTAGATACAGGTGGGACTGAAGTTTTTGCATATGGGTAGAGAACATTGATTCATCCTGTGTAACGGAGAAATGAATCTGGAGATTTCTTTGAAGGGAAGCAGATGGGAGTAGAAGGTGGGCAAGAGCCATCCAGGAGAGAACTATTCAGAGAGAACATGGGACTGGGGAGAAAGAAAGGCAGCGAGCTACAAGGAAATAAGCACTAACGTGAACTAGAGAAATGGTCAAAGGAGGTTTTGTTTTAAATGAGCGATTATGCATAAAATCACACTTTATATTTTTTCTGTTGTCCCAAGTGATAGGGATGATGAGTAAAGTTTGGGAGTTACTGCACTAACGTGGAGACGCAATGTTTTACTCTGGCCAACAAACCTTGAAACCATTAGGCCTCCCTGCTCTCTACCTGCAGCCAAGGGCCCTGGTGTTCTTTCAAGTCCTGGAACTTTTCCAACACTGTTGGGTTGTGACCGGTGTTGATCTCAACACCTCACATGCTTCATCTAGCATATCGTTACAATGACAAACTCATCATCCCTCTGTGAACCCAACCTCAAGCTGTATTCTCTTTCTTTGTAGGTAATATATTTATATTCATAAAATATTTACCGAACACTACAACAGTCCAGGTTCTTTGCATATCTGTCCCACTATCACACTTTTCGAGGATGGGGAGAATTTCCCACTTCTCTTTGCCTAGTGCAGTCACTATTTAATTAAGGTTTGTTAATTACTAGCCCATGAGCTTTTCTAATTGTACAGGCCTGCCCTTGAAAGTACTAAACTAACAATCCTTAACAAGGCTCTCATGTTTTCAGGTCATAAGAGTAATATTTGAAATTAAATTTTTTTCAAGCTCATCAAGTTTAAGCTTACCTTAAAACAGGCTAACATTAAATGCAGGCAGTATGGCATGATAGCCTTGCTGGTACAAGGCAGGAGCTTCAGATCCAAACCTAACAGAAGTCCACAATGTTACGTTAATGTCCATTATTATCAAAGAAAACGGCTTTGAAAGGCAAATGTTTATGATGTTTTCATTAAAAAAAAAAAAACAAAAATAAGAAAACAAAAGGATACACAACTGTCACATGAATTCAATTATAGTTGAAACACAGTTATACTTTATGATGGTGAAATTGGCTTTTGATAGTCTCTAGATTTCATTTATCGATACTCTTTCCTAAACTTGTTTAAATACTTTGAATGATAAAATATTTTAAATATATAGAAAACTATATAGAGAGACTATGATAAACACTGGTGTGCTTACCACTCAGCTTCATGAAGTGTTAATATTTTAATTTTAAACAATTCTAATATAAATGATCACAAAATCAGTTAAAGCCTATTGTGTATCCTTCTCTGATCCCATTCTCTTCTATCCCAGAGGTAGCCATAATTCTGAAGGCAGTGGTGGTCATTCCTATGAATATTACACACTTCTACCACAGAAGTTTGTATTTATAAACAACACTGGATTGTTTTGCATGCTTTCAGTCTACTATATAAACGGTGTCACAGTATATGCATCCTTCTACAAATTGCTTTTTCTACTCAACTTCATGTGGTTCAGATTTATCAGTTGATCCATATCAATCCATGTAGCTCCCGTTCATTCATTTTCAGTGTTACATAGTATTCTGTTGTCTACATATATCGTAAATGATGCATCCATTCTTTTTATGGTGGAGGTTCACACTTCCAATTTTTCACTATTACAATGTTAAATATACATTCTTACATATTCTTGTACATTTATGGAAATTACTGTAAGCAATGACTTTCAAAGCAAGATCCCAATCTTTTCTTTATGGTCTGTGTTCTCTATGGCTGCTATCTTTCTCTACTCACAGGCAAGTAGCAAGAAATAAATACATTTTTTACATGAGATCCTGTAAACACATACTTACGTAATGTGATATATCCAAAACTAAAGGTGCATTAAATAATAGCCTCTCTTCTTATCTGAGATGTCTTTTAAAATATTATTAAATCCTATCTTATTGTAAAAGAAAAATTGGGGTTGAAACTCATGACCCAGTAAACGAAGACTCATAGCTTGAAAAACATTAATCTAAGGTATATTAACTAGGAGGCGAGGTATATATAATAATTAGGTAATTAATGTGAAGTTGGTTTCCAGAATGGTTGAACGACTTTGTACACCTTCCAGAAGCACATGGGCACTGTGTTCCTTCACATCCTAACAGTCATTGTTATCTCTTCAATTTTTGCATTCTGATGTGTGTGAAATGGTAGGTTACTGTTTTAATCTGAATTGCCCATATGCCTAATGTTGAGAATCTTTTCAAATAGTTTTTGGCCATTTGGATTTCTGTTCCTGTGAATGTGTTGTTCCTGTCCTTTCCCTATTTTTCTATGGGGGTTGGTTAATTGCTTCCTATTGGTCTGAAGGAGCTCTTTCAAAACTCTGGATACTAAGTGTTTGTTGATTCTGTGTGATAGAGAATTTTCTGGCAGTCTATGGCTTATCTTTTCACTTTGACTCTAATAGCCATTGCTGGTATTTTAATTTTAATGTGATCAAATTTACTAATCTTTCTATTTTTAAGTTTTCTTCTAAAAGTTTAGAAGTTTTGGAGTTTTTGCTTTCACATTTCAACCTTAAAATTTAGAGGATGTCTATGTAGTGTGAAGGAGGGGAAATCTTACTATTTTATTGTCATTGTTTACATTTGGAAAATAAACTGTTCTAGTACCACTTACTGAATAAATTCATTCTTCCCCCACTGAATTTTAATGTCATCTATTTCTCAGTTTTCTATGCTGTTCCACTGGTCAATCCCTGTGCCAATACTACCCTATCTTAATTACTAAAACTTGGAAATAAGTCTTGATGTCAGCTAGGTCACTCTTATCCACCTAATTGGTTTCTGGAAGGTGTATAAAGTCATGGAAATTAAGTTAGCACTACCAAGTTGAACATGTCATTTATCTAATAATTATAAACCTTGCCTCTTACTTGTACACCTGAGATCAGTGTTTCTCCAGCTGGCAGTCTTCATCTACAGGGTCATGAGTTTCAACAACAAACTTTCTGTTCTACAGAAATACTTAATTTTTGAAGAAGCCTGGGCTAGATTTTTTTTTTAACCATTTGTTATAGAAAACTTAAAACATATACAAAGTAATGTGCTCTAGCAGAATTGGTTGAAAAGTCTTTCCTTTCCCTATTTGAATTACTTTGATGCCTTCATTGAAAATCATTTGATCAATATGTAGGTCTATTTCTGGATCCTCCATTCTTATATCAATATTTTGTCAACTCTGTCTTGACTATTATGCTTGGATATTAAATCTTGTTATTACGTAGTATAAGTCACTTGTGTCTTTTTTAAAACTGTTTTGACTGTTCTAGATTATATAATATTTTCACTGACATTTTAGAATCACTTTGTGAACTTCTACCAAAAAACTTCCAAAAACCATAAAGTCTGCTGTAATTTTGGTTGAAATTGTATCTAATCTATAGATACATTAGGGGAGAACTGGCACCATAATAATAATTGAATCTTCTGATCTAGAAATATGATCTGTCCATTTTCAAAAATCTTTAATTTTTCTCAGAAATATTTTGTGATATTCAAAGTGGAGGTTTTGCATATTTTTCATTAAATTTACCTCTAAATATTTTATGGTTTTTTTTTGATGCTATTAGAAATGGTATCTTAAAAAATTCATTTTCTAACTGCTTATTAATAGCATATAGATTGAACTGAGTTTTTTATACACTAAAGTGTCTTGGAAATTTCTTTTTCTTTTTTGAGACAAGGTCTCACTCTGTTGCCTAGGCTAGAGTGCAGTGGAACAATCTTGGCTCACTGAAATCTCCGCCTCCCAGATTCAAGTGATTCTCCCACCTCAATCTCCTGAGTAACTGGGATTAAAGGTGTGTGCCAATACACCTGGTTAATTTTTGCATTTTTAGTAGACATGGGGTTTTACTATGTTGGCCAGGCTTGTCTCAAATTTCTGGTCGCAAGTGATCCGCCTGCCTTGGCCTCCCAAAGTGCTGGGATCAGAGACGTGAGCCACCACACCCGGCCTTGGGAACTTGTCAGATTCCCTCAAGTTTTCTACATAGCCAAATGTGTAACTGTGTTGGTTTCTTCAGACAGGGAAATCTTTCTCTGTTGCCAGGCTGGAGTGAAATGACGTAATCATAGCTCACCATAGCCTTGACCTCCTAGGCTCAAGCAGTCTTCCTTCCGCAGCCTATAGAGGGTAGCTGGAACTACAGGTGCACACCACTAAGCCTGGCTAATTTTTAAATTTTTTGTAGAGATAGGATCTCACTTTGTTGCCCACGGTGGTTTGAGCTCCTAGGCTCACGTGATCCTCTTGCTTCAGCCTCCCAAAGGGCTTGGGTTACAGGCGTTAAGTTATCATGCCCGGCCAAAACATGTAACCATGAATAAAGGTCGTCATATCTGTGAAGTCTTTTAAATCTTTATGCTTTATTCACTTTTCTTGCCTGCTGTACTGCCTAGAATTTCCAGGATATTGAACAGAAGTAGAGAGAGCAGACATCCTTGTACAGTTTCTAATCTTAGTGGGCAAAAGCATTCGATATTTCACAGTTAAGTTTGATGTTAAAAAATAGTTTCCTTCTATTCCTAGTTTGCTAAGATTTTTGTTATCATGAAGTGATATTGAATTCTGTCTGTATCTACTAAGACAGTCATGACTTTTCTCCTTCTATCTGCTAATGAAGTGAATTACACTGATTTTTATATGTTCAAACACCCATGCATTCCTGGAATACTTGGTCATAATATATTGTCCTTCTATATTGCTGTATTCAGTTTGCTAATATTTTGTTAAGGATTTGGCACCTATTATAATTCATGAAGGATACTGGCCTTTAAAGTTATTTTCTTGTGATGCTCTTGCTTCGTTTTGCTATCAGGGTTATCGTGTTGGCCTTAAAAAAATGAATTAGGAATCTCCCTCTATTTTCTGGTAAGAGTTTGTGTAGAATTGGTACTATTTCTTCCTAAATTCTTGATAGAATTCACCAATGAAGCAATTTGGACCTGAATTCTTTATGGAAGGTTTTTGATAACAAATTTAATTTCTTTAATAGCTAAAGGAACATTCTCTCTCTTTCTCTGTCTCTCTCTTTCTTTCAACAGGGTGTTGCTTTGTTGCCCAGGCTACAAGTGCTGTGCTGTGATCTCGGCTCACTGCAACCTCTGCCTCCCAGGTTCAAATGCTTCTCCCACTCCACCCTCCAGAGTAGCTGAGACTACAGCACACCCAGCTAATTTTTGTATTTTTAGTAGAGACGGCATTTCACCATGTTGCCCAGGCTGGTCTCCAACTTCTAGGCTCAAATGATCTGCCTGCCTTGGTCTCTCAAAATGCTGGGATTACAAGTGTGAGCCACCGTTCCCAGCAGAATGTTCTGATTTTCTATTTCATTTTTGTGTCAATTTTGGTAAACTGTGTTTTTAAGAAACTTTTTCATTGCATCTAAGTTGCTGAGTTTATTGGCATAAAGCTTTTCATAATGTATTCTTTTACTGTCCTTTTGATTTCAGTAGGATCTGTAGTGACATTCCCTTTTTCATTTCTGATATTGGTAATTTATGTTCACTTTCCTCCTGATCGATCTTGTTAGGGGGTTATCAATTTTATATATTTTTCAAAAAAACCTTCTAGTGTTATTAACATTCTCTTTTTTGTTTTCTATTTCATTGATTTCTGCGGTTAGCATTACTCTTTCCAGTCATCTGTTTTCTTCAGATTTAATTTATGTATCTTTTTCTAACAAACTTACATCAGTTGTACATTTCATTTTTCTAGCAATATGAAGCTTGAGCTGGAGCTCAGAATGGTTTCAGAGGGATGTGCTGACAGATACCCCCTAATTAATCATCTACACATTTTCCTAAAATTGTAAAGATGGGAAGAAGAATTCACTGAAACTCGTCAAACAGATAACAAACTCAGGAAGTGAAGACAGCTTTACAAGAAAGACATTTATAGCTGCTCATGAAATCACAGCCAAGGAAAAACTTGGAAAGGGATTAACTTTTTATACAATTTGGCAAGCCCTGCAGCAGTATTATCTCATTAGGAACTGTAAAACATTGTTCAGCCTTGGGTCCTAAAACTATTTTTCTTTTCTTTTTAAATTTTTTTAAGAGATGGGAGTCTCACCACGTTGCCCAGGCTGGTCTCAAACTCCTGGGCTCAAGCTATCCTCCTGCCTCACCCACCAAGTAGCTGAGATTATAAGTGTCAGCCACTGTGCCTGGCTTTTAAGCTATTTTTACAAAAATCATAATAAAACATGTCATTGTACCTTTTCTAAATTTAGGCTTTATTTTTGTGGGTTCCTCCTGGGATTTGCCTCCATCTTGAATGGGGAGTACCATGTAGCACATCAAATCGAGGACTTTCTCACATGTCATCTAAAGCAGAAAAGACCAAAAGGAACTAACTTGAAGCTTTCTGAACTGAAATCAAATAAACAAAGTACCAAAATATTTGCAGCATACAGTCAGACAATGTGTACATGGAGGTCTCTACTTCTATCTCTTTATGTGATCACTACTTGCCCAACAGTGAACAATAAGACTCAATCTATGTACTAGACCTTTGAGGGAACAATAACCCATTCTTTGCTATTGAAAAACAAAACTTAAAAATTAACCAAGCACTGAGTACTGAGGTATTCAACAGCACAGCAGCAGCCAAAAGAAAAGATGTCCCTGCCCAAAAGACACTGACTAACACACTGCACAGAAAAACTAACAATAAAATATGTAGCAGAAGTCTAAGGGGTATGATACAGAGCATAACCTAAAACACAGGAGAAAAGACACACAGGTGAAACGAGCAGGAAAAGCTTCAGGCAGGAAGGTTATCTTCTTCTAAGCTTTAAAGAGACGAAGGATTTGGAATGCAGAAAAGAGGCCTTTAGAGCAGGAGAGGAAGATGGGGGGAAGGGCTGTGTATGGGTTTAGGTGATTTGCCTGAGGTCCAGAGGTTTGGTCTGGGACACAGATGAGATGCTGGACAGATGCAGTGCTGGTGGAGGAGAGGAGCCTCGACTGCCTCTGTGCAGGCTGGCGTTGATCCCGACACTCAGCATCACCACTCCTTCGCTACCTACTCCAATTCTAACAACAATCAATTTCATGCAATGAGCCTTTCCTCTGTGTCAACAAACCCTTTCATTATTTCCATTTGCCAGATAAGAAAGTGGAACTTATTTTTTTTTTCCTTTTATGCAAAAGGCCAGAGACTTCTTTGGGTCTCCAGGTAATTTTTTTTTTTCTTTAAGTTCAGGGATACATGTGCCAAACATTTGATGTGTTAGGTAAACATGTGCCATGGTGGTTTGCTGCATCTATCAACCTGTCATCTAGGTTTTAAGCCCTGCATATATTAGGTATTTGTCCTAATGCTCTCTCTCCTTGTCCCCACTCCCCAACAGGCCCCTCTCTCCTTGTCCCAAACACCCAACAGGACCCAGTGTGTGATGTTCCCCTCCCTGTGTCCATGTGTTCTCACTGTTCAACCCCCGGAAGTGGGGCTTTAAACCCATGCTTCCCAGCTCTTTTCACATTGTGGCACACCCTGAAAGTAATCTGTGTGAGGCTGGTCAGGGTTGGCAGCAGTTGACCCTGGGTGGCCCCAGCAGCCCTAGGTCATGGCTGACTGCCCCAAAGGCTGCAGGATCCATATATTGGCACCTTTAGAACCCACCTATGCCCACAGGGTTGTGAAGCTCTAGTTTAGAGACGGGCAGCCTGGGAGTTGAGAACTTGAACTCGAGTTGGATAGGCCTGGGTGAGGTAACCTGACAACATCACAGAGCTAGCCAAGACTTGTACTCCAGAGCTGTGAGCTGCCATTTTCAATGCCCATCTCCAGCCAATCTTTTCTAGAAATCTTTCCTTGACTCTTTGGACCCAACAAAGAAAGCACCCTTCCCCGAATGCCTATTGTGCCTATGACTGAGGCCTACCGATTAATATTTGATTTTTAATTGACTTACACCTTATACTTTTTTCCCTAACTCAAAGCATATGCCCCTGAATGCAGGGATCCCATATTGCCCACACCCTACTTTTACTCCTCACCCAACAGTGGGGTTCAACACTGGGCACCAAGAAAGCCAGTACTTCAGTTAAGTGGAATGATGAAAGCAGTATATTAGAAAGCAATGAACATAATTTTGTAGGGTTGGAAAAAGGGTTATAGGCCAAAAACTCAGTTAAAAGGCTGGATTACGGTGGTGACAATAGAAATACAAAGTAATATAGCAAAGAGATTAGTATCACACTGGAAGAATCAAAAGGATTAGCTAGAGTGAGAGTCCACCATGACTTGAAAGTTTTGTGTCTCAGGGCCAGTACTATGATCCGAGTGTCTGTGTTCCCACCAAAATTTGCGTGTTGAAACTGAACCCCCAATCTGAGGGCATCAGGAGGTACAGCCTTTGGGAGGTGAGTAGATGATCAGAGCAAAACCCTCATGAATGGGATTTGTGTCCTTATCAAAGAGACCCTGGAGTGCTCTCTTGTCCCTTCTATGAACTAGGAAGCAGGACCTCACCAGACACTGAATCTGCTGATGCCTTGTTGTTGGACTTCCCAGCCTCCAGAACTGTGAGAAACAAATTCCTGTTGTTTACAAGGCTCACCTTTCATGCTATTTGGTTGTAGTAGCCCAAGCAGACTAAGACAGCTAGAGAACTAAGGACACTTACATCCGGACATATTGAGTCTGGGCTAAAGATGGGAAGTCGAGAATCATGTTAAGTCTGACACTGCCTATAGGCCTAATAGTGATGTACTCAGAGGCTGGAACTAAGCTCTCGAAGGGAAGAAGTTTATCTTGTTTAATTAAATCTACTAGTTTATATTCCCTACTACAATGAAGTAGTACACGGTGCAGCTAACTCTACATGAGATATGTATACTGGTGTGAGTAAATACGTGCTACCTTTTAAGTTCTTAAAAGGAATTAATTAAAACTTAGAATAAGTAACTGATAGATGATACATAAATAATGGTGGAAAGGCATTTTCAATTTTGAATGCACATACTCCACACATTCTCAAATTGTTCCTTTCTAAAAATCATCATGACAAATTATTAATCATATTTCAGAGTTCAAGTTAAAAAAAAAATTTTTAACATTTTTTTTTTTTTTTTGATGGGGGGTTTTTTTTTTTTTTTTTTTTTGCTCTTGTTGTCCAGGCTGGAATACAATGTCCACCTCCCAGGTTCAAGTGATTCTCTTGCCTTAGCCTCCCGAGTAGCTGGGATTACAGGCACCCACCACCATGCCCAGCTAATTTTTGTATTTTTAGTAGAGTCCGGGGTTTCACCATGTTGGCCAGGATGGTCTCAAATTCCTGACCTCGTGATCCGCCCACCTCAGCCTCCCAAATTGCTGGGATTACAGGCGTTTAAGCCATGGCGCCCGGCCAAAAAATTTAGGGTTTTTAATCACAACGTGATCAACAATATGTAGAGGGGTGGGAATAAATCCGTTTGTTGTGTTATGTTGTGGCCTTGAATTTATACAGTCCTTGCACACACAACAACATGCTTATCGTTTTAATTGAATTCAAACATTTATTGCACTGTGGTAGGTATCATGAAAGTTCAAAGATAAAAACACAGTCCCCACCCTGTAGTACGCAGGGCTCAAAATCTCCTGGAGGAAAGACGCCCATTTATATATCTGCTCCTGCAACGCTCCTATCAGCTGTTATGACTTTTTTGTTTTTTTGAAACAGAGTCTCCCTCTGTCGCCCAGGCTGAAGTGCAGAGGCACAATCTTGGCTCACTGCACCCTCCACCTCCCAGGTTCAGGTGACTCTCCTGCCTCAGACTTTCAAGTAGCTGGGATTACAGGCACCTGCCACCACGCCGAGCTAATATTTGTATTTTAGTAGAGATGGGGTTTCACCATGTTGGCCAGGCTGGTCTTGAACTGCTGAGCTAAAGTAAACTTCCTACCTAGGCCTCCCAAAGTCCCGGGATTATAGCCATGAGCCACCACGCCCAGCGAGTTATTACCATTGAAAGAGAGAATCTGAGGTTTGAGTAAGCTAAATACAAATCCTCCATTTCCCACTTAGTAATGGCCTTGTTTTTCCAAGTACAACAGAACAGGCAAGAGTGTAATAATAATGAAAAGATAAATAATAAAAAGAAAAATCTTCCAACAAATGGAACAATGAACAAGAAACTTAAAAAGTACTGATGCCTAATTTCAGGGAAGTTGTAGTAAAGAGAAAATTACGTAAAACCAAATCATTGTGATGTTCATTAGCAGATTAAGTAATAAATCTAGGTGGAAAGATCAAACTGAAACACACTTGCACTGAATAAAAAAGCCACACTGGGCAAAGGAGAAAGCCCCGGTGGCCCCGTGCCCCTGCGGCCGGCATGTGAGCAGTACTCACTCTGTACTCCCCTAATGCAAAGTGGCACGTCGCCAGCTGGATGAGCGCCCTCTGATGCTCCAGGGTCCCCTGCCCTGTGATTGGTGGCTGAGAAATGGATCCCTGGAGAGCTGCTAAGTGATGCAGGCTGGCTATTGCTTTTTTATATTGACCCTAAGAAAGATGGAAAAACAAGGAGAAAAAAAAACGGCATTAAAAAACGAAATTAAAAAAAAAAAACAACCCTTCCAGAGTTCATTAAGCAATGAGCAAGCAACTATACAAAGAAGATAGCTTGGTTTGATCATCTGAGGAAGAAATGGAGACTTGGCAATAGAATCAAATCAACTTAATTAAAGCCAGCTGGGAGTTCTTTACGGCATTACTTTATAAGGATGAAGATTTTTCTTTCTGGGGTTAGGTCTTCAGACTAAAGAAAATAACCAGGCCCTTTGATCCAGCACATTTTGGATGTAACATTTCTTTAGAAATATTTTGCTACAAGCACCACGTCTCCTTTATGAAGGACAGAAGCAGCAACCTGCCCATTCCAACAGCAGCTCATTGGTGAATTATCGACTCTCTCCGTTCTAGGTCTAAGATGCTGGAGAACAGTACAGCCAGGCAGACTCTACCAGTGGAGAGAGGAGGAGGGTGAGAAGTAATCCTCTTTTACTGAAAATTGAAAATCTTACTTCTACAGAGAGGTATGACTGGATATACCAAAGTAACACAAAAGGTACAGTCTTGTCATTTTGGAGTTTTTGTTTCATTTTGTTTTTGAGACAAGGTCTCACTGTCACCCAAGCTGGAGTACAGTGTTGCTATCATGGCTCACTGCACTTCTGACTTCCTGGACTCAAGTGATCCTCCCACCTCAGCCTCCTGAGTAGCTGGAGGTATAGACACATGCCACCACACTTGGCTAAGTTTTTTATTTTGTAGAGACAGGGTCTTGCTATGTTGCCAGGTCTGGTCTCGAACTCCTGGGCTCTAGCAATCCTCCAGCCTTGACCACCCAAAGTACTGGGATTACAGGCATGAGCTAATGCACCCAGCCCAAAATTGTTTTGAAAGGAAAGTGGACCATACCCACTCAGCCACTCAAGTCACAACAGGTGTAAGCAGGCTGGCCCAAGAGGGAAGATGACACATCATGCATTTGAAAGCTGGTTCGCCACGATAACCGTCCCGTACAGACACAGGAACCTAAAATACATTTAATACTCTACCTGATAGATGATCATATCAGTGAGGAAGATTCTTAACCAAAGCCAAGTATCCGTCTTCCAGGCCAAACAAATTCTTGTAAATTCTGAGTGAGAATTCAAAAGCAAATTTACCAAATATATATAGCTATAGCACAGAAGAAGAAAACAAACTAACAAATCCAGTAAGAGAGGGCAAACTACCAAAAATATATAGTAACTTTGCTTTGATTTCTAAAACACTGCTCTGGAATTTCAAGGCGAGAAGAAACACATAACACTTATTGGTAATACACAAGTAATATCTTTTGGCCCCAAACATGCAGCTTTAGGAAGGCAGCAGTAAGAAAGACCTAGAAGCACAAAACAAACTGGGTGAACAAAGGCCAGTACTACAAATATTTACCAGAAAGTCCAAAACCTCTCCCTCAAGCTCCACCCCTACCTGAATTATAATACACCCTCAGAGCAGGAGCTAAAAGGTAGATGGTCATTTGAAAATTCACAACTGATAAGGTATCCTGCTCAGAAAAAAATCCTATAAAATGCAGGAACTGGCTGGCTGTGGCAGCTTATCCCTGTAATCCCAACACTTTGGGAGGCCCAGGCTGGTGGATCATTTGAGGTCAGGAGTTCAAGACCAGCCTGGCGAAACCCTGTCTCTACTGAAAATATGAAAAATTAGCTAGGCATGATGGCACATGCCTGTAGTCTCAGCTAGGCTGAGGCAGAAGAATTGCTTGAACCCAGGAGGTACAGGCTGCAGTGAGCCAAGATCACGCCATTATACTCCAGCCTGGGCGACAGAGTGAGACCCCGTCTCAAAAGAAGAAAAAAAAATGCATGAACTACTGTAGTCAACTTAATTTGCCATAAGTGACTTGACGTTTCAAGTAGCACAATGATTTTATATAAAACCTTAAATAGCACCAATGACGTGCGCTTTCTTACCTTTGTCAAGGAATTCTAGGGAATACAGCAACTCCCAGCTCTCCCTGGCCCATTTAAAGCTTTCTAACACTTCAACGGAGTTAGCGAGTTCAGCTTTATTAACAACAATGTGACGATTTCTTCCTTTTGCTGAACAGTCTTCATCGTCTGAACTCTGCTTAAAGAATGTGGAGAACGTGGTTAATTCAGTTATAAATATAGTCCTATATGGAAACATTATTGCTGCCAGCTTTGCCCATTACATGAATTTCATATCAAAGGATACCACATACATAGTATTTTTTTGAATTTAACAATTTAGCTTTGAAAATTAAGATATATTTTTTGTCTTTATACTCTCACACATTTCCATTTTTACTTTTAAAATGGAGTGAATTTCTTTTCTGATGCTAAATTCTTATGTTTGCTTGTGGTGGTTTTGGAGCAAAGTTTAAAAAATATCAGTTTTATGAAAGTCAAAATTTAGATTTTTTACATTGACAGATACAACTTAAACAGCACCTGTTCATAGTTTACTTTTTTTTCTAATATGTGACATAATTTAACTGGCTTCCAAATAATGGTTTGGCATGTCCTAGGATAAAATTAAAGCCTGAGGCCAGGGTGCAGTGGCTCACGCCTATAATCCCAGCACTTTGGGAGGCCAAGGAGGATAGATCATTTGAAACCAGGAGGAGTTCAAGGTCAGCCTGGCCAACATGGCGAAACCCCATCTCCACTAAAAATACAGTTAGGCCAGGCGTGGTGGCTCAAACCTGCAATCCCAGCACATTGGGGAGGCCGAGGTGGGTGGATCACGAGGTCAGAAGATCGAGACCATCCTGGCTAACACAGTAAAACCCCATCTCTACTAAAAATACATAAAATTAGACAGGTGTGGTGGCACACGCCTGTAGTCCTAGCTACTTGGGAGCAAAGTTTAAAAAATATCAGTTTTATAAAAGTCAACCTTGGGAGGTTGAGGGAGGAGAATCGCTTGAACCCAGGAGGCAGAGGTTGCAGTGAGCCAAGACTGCACCACTGTACTCCAACCTGGGTGACAAAGTGAGACTCTGTCTCAAAAAAAAAATAATAAGAATAATACAAAGTTAGCTGGGCATGGTGGTGCGTGCCTGTAATCCCAGCTACTCAGGAGGCTAAGGCACAAGAATCACTTGAACCCAGGAAGCAGGGGTTGCAGTGAGCAGAGATCGCACCACTGCACTCTAGCCTGGGTGACAGAGTGAGACTCTGTCTCAGCAACAAAAAAATTAAGGCCTGCGTCATCTAAGAAATAATGTCAAAGAATAACTGTTAGTTATCTTTGGTTCACTGCGTATGACTTCCTTGCACTGGTCATCCCTCTCTAGCTCTCCTCCCCCAGTGCAAGGTCCTGGTCAGAAATTACTTTTGTCTGCACTTACCTAGTAATGCCTTCTGTATTTTACAATACAGATTTCTCGGGCTTCTTGTATCTTTGTGCAAACTTTTCCCTCTCAACAAAATCTACCCCCAATTACAACTGACAAAATCCTTCATCTTTCAGCACTGATTTCAAGTGTTGACTTCCTTCATGAAATATTTTTTGCATCTCCCCATAGGCTGTTCCTGCTGCCCTAAATGCTTCAGAGCTTTCCATTCTGAGGGAAGCACCCTGTACTGCACCCGGCTCTAGATGTCTGATGCAATTTTGGTTTTGTTCTTTAAATTGAATCAATGCCATTCGGTCAAAACATGTATAAGGAACTTATGGCATGGGTTCGTAGCCTCATTGCTGACCTTTTGGGTGGTCCTGTGCTGTGTGAGTGGCTCAGCAGCATCCCTGCCCCCTCCCCACCAGATGCTAACAGCAGACCCTCCCCACCAAGCTGTGACAACCAAAAAGGCCTCCAGACATTGCCAAATGTCCCCTGAAGGGTAAATCACCTCCAATGGAGAACCACTGACTTAGTGATTATTAATATATAGTATAATTTTAAAACCTAAGGTTTATCGATTCACCTCCAAAGCCATATTTTACAAAGATTCATCTCTAGCAAACTGTCCCATCCAATCTGTTAATAATTATATTTGAAAGCACTGGCCAGGCATGGTGGCTCATGCCTGTAATCCCAGCACTTTGGGAGGCTCAGGCGGGTGGATCATGAGGTTAGGAGTTCAAGACCAGCCTGGCCAACATGGTGAAACTCCATCTCTACTAAAAACACAAAAATCAGCTAGGCGTGATGGCAGGTGCTGGTAGTCCCAGCTACTCAGGAGGCTGAGGCAGGAGAATTGCTTGAACCCAGGAGGTGGAGGTTGCAGTGAGTTGAGATCATGCCATTGCACTCCAACCTGGGCGACAGGGCAAGACTCCATCTCAAAAAACTAAATAAATAAATAAATAAGAAAGAAAGAAAGCATTACCATGGTTTTTTCTCTTCCTTCAGCTAGTTTCCTTTTTTTATGGATGTGTTTGTTACGGTCAATTTCTACATCACCATACACGTTCGATACATCTTCAAGAAGAACAAGCGGAACTTGGTTTGGGGCATTAGGACCTAAGGATGGGGAAAAACACCAACACTTAAAAATGCAGCAAGGAAAGGAATACTTAAAATAAGAGAGAAGCTTACTCAACTGTCATGAGAAAGTCATGAAAAATATGTTCAGTGTGATCTCAATTAGGTAAACAAACAAGTAGATGCACATAGAAAAAGAAGACCATACAGATATATACCAAATTGTTAAAGACTCTCTGTCAGTGGTGGAATACAAGTGACAGTTCCTTCTTTGTATTTGTTATATATCTGCAAATTGTTTACAATGATCATGAATCATTAAAGTACCATAAAAAGACTACCAAATTATACTTACATTATGGTTACAGATTCCAAACAAAATATAAATATATGTAACATTATAAGGCAATACATAAAAACGACAGTTGTATTATTCTGGAAGAATTATGGGTGATTCCATTCTCTTATTTCTGTTTTTCAAATTTTCTACAGTGTATTTATGCATACACTCTAGATATACAAAATGTATATTTTAAATCTTTGCCTATTGTGATGTCTTCATGAAATCTACTTAAATATGTTTTTATATCTGCTGGCTTTTTGTTTTGTTTTGTTTTGTTTTGTTTGAGATGGAGTCTTGCTCTGTCACCCAGGCTGGAGTGCAGGGTGCAATCTCAGCTCACTGCAGCCTTTGCCTCCCAGGTTCCAGCAATTCTCCTGCCTCAGCCTCCCAAGGAGCTGGGATTACAGGTGCCCATCACTATGCCTGGCTAATATTTGTATTTTTAGTAGAGATGGGGTTACACCATACTGGCTAGGCTGGTCTCAAACTCCTGACCTCAAGTGATCTGCCAGCCTTGACCTCCCCAAGTGCTGGGATTACAGGCATAAGCCACCGCGCTCAGCCTGCTGTTACCTTCAAAATAATGGCATCTGATATCTGTATTTAGCTGTGCAGTACCATTACACCCTTTGATATAGAAACTTCTAATGAAAGATACTTACATAGAAACTACCAATTAAGCCAAACTAAACAAAACTAAATTGCCAACTATAAAAAGGACTGGTACTGCCCCACGGTTGTTTGGATCCAACAATAGTGGATAAACACTTTCATCCTCTTCACCATCCCCGCAGTTTTTTTGGACACTCTAAAATTTGTAAACCAACCTTGGAAGAGAGACGGCTGTATGCTGTTGACATACTGGAACGCATTCTTAAAGAAGACCAACATGGTGGAATATACTACTTGGTTTTTATATTTTGCATGTGCTTCACTATCGAAGTTATTCATGTATCTGCAGAGATCCTTCATTCTATGCAAAATTTCTCCATAGCTTCTAAAAAAGAAGGAATGATAAAACTTACTCGATTACTCTGGGCTGGTCAGCAAAAGGTCTAAAGAAAAGCTCTGGTGGTACTGTTACATGTACCAAATGTTGCTCTAGGTATGTGAAATTATTCTTACTGTGCAATATAAATGGCAGCTCTTCCCTTCTGAATTAGGGCAGTGATCAAGATTTCATGACACAAACATGCTAAGTAGCTTCTCTTTTCTCTGAAGTAGCAAGGAGAGGTTCAAACACAACATCGTCTTAAGAGTCCATATTTCAGTTAGAAATCTGGTTTTTTTTTTTTTTTTTTTTCTTTTTTGGGAGACAGGCTCTCACTCTGTTGTCCAGGCTGGAGTACAGTAGCGTGATTTTGGCTCATCGTAGCCTCTGCCTCCTGGGTTCAAGTGATTCTCTCATCTCAGCCTCCTGAGTAGTTGGGACTAAAGGCACAAACCACCACGCCCAGCTAATTTTTTAACTTTTAGTAAAGATGGGGTTTCACCATGTTGGCTGGTTTCAAACTCCTGACCTCAAGTGATCCGCCTTCCTCAGCCTCCCAAAGCACTGGGATTACAGGTATGAGCCATTGTGCCTGGCCAGAAATCTTTTAATAAAATGAAAAACTACCCTCTTTTGCATAAGTATTGAGTGTCACAAAATTTACCCAAAAAGTATACTTACGCATTATACAGTTTTGTTTTTTCTTGTTTTGTTTTTTTGAGACAGAGTCTTGCTCCATCACCCAGGCTGAAGTGCAGTGGCACAATCTCTGTGAACTGCAACTTCTACCTCCCAGATTCAAGCAATTTTCCTGCCTCAGCCTCCTGAGTAGCTGCGATTACAGGTGCATGCCACCACGCCCAGCTAAGTTTTATATTTTTAGCAGAGATGGGGTTTCACCATGTTGGTCAGGCTGGTCTCCAACTGCTGACCTCATGATCTGCCCACCTTGGCCTCCCAAAGTGCTGGGAATGCAGGCGTGAGCCACCGTGCCTGGCCTACACAGTTTTAAAAAGCATGTTTTTGTTTTTATAAAGATCCAAAAACAATAGGTAATTCTGGAAATAAACTATTTATTACCGTCTTCCTTTATCCATTTGCCATTCACATCTCATTCCAACAACATTCAAAATCTTAAACAACCTCTCCCAAGGGTCCACAATCTGGGATGATTTTTCCGTCAGCCCTTCTATTATGTACTTCTGAGAGCTACGTTTGCTAGGTGACATTAAATCAGATGTATCCTGGGCACCTGAGATGTAAGAAAAAAGTAACCTACAATTAACATTATGACTTACTGTTGATGTGGTGCCTGATAAACAAAGTCTGACTCCCCATGCAAATACAGAGAGTACAGAATCCCAACACATTTATGTTTTGCTCAAGGACCCACAACAGGCCACTGGTATAAGCAGGAAGTAACTTCCCCTACTTCATCATGATTCATGTATAATGTTCCATGCAATAACAGTACATCTCAGCCAGAAGATTGTTTTGATCAATGGGTGGCATTGGTTCCAGAAAAGCCTCATCTCTTAACTATAGTATTTTTTTCTAGATAGCAACTTTTGAAACACTCCCAAACCGGTAAGCATCCAGAGGAGAATAATCAGAACATTGAGGGGTTTCTGAATTTGCAATTTCAATATAGCCTATTTAAATAAAAGTACAGGATATTCCTACTTACCTTGATGCTGATTTTCTGTTTGAGTAGACCTAGTGACATAATTGATATAAAATTCAGCTGCTTTGTTCAAGTACTTATATAATAAATTAGCAGGCAATCGAACATCATGGTTGTTAATTATTAGAGGAAGGACATCACAAACTGTTGGAGGAGAAAAAGAAGAAAATAATTAAGTAGGTGGTCTACCCTAAAGTTCCGACAAATACAAAAGCTTTTAGAGTTCATTCGATGTAGTATCTAAAACATATGGGGGGAAAATCCTTTATGACTCATGTATTGAAAATGAGTTGTACAGAGAGACAGGCAGTTAATTCTACAGTGGGTGACGGTCCAGTTCTTCCACTGAATTCAGACGTTTGTTTATTACTGTGCTTCATACCTACATATACAGTTACACATATTCTTTCAGAGGTATCAAATCTTATATAACAAAAGCTTAGAAGTTGTTTAAAATGCTTTCTTTCTTTTTTTTTTTTTAAGACAGAATCTCGCTTTGTTGCCAGGCTGGAGTGCAGTGTGGCAATCTCAGCTCATTGCAAACTCCTCCTCCTGGGTTCAAGCGATTCTCCTGCCTCAGCCTCCTGAGTAGCTAGGACTATAGGCACCTGCCACCACACCCAGCTAATTTTTATATTTTAAGTAGAGATGGGGTTTCACCATGTTGGCCAGGTCTCTATCTCTTGACCTCATGATCTGCCCGCTTCGGCCTCCCAAAGTGCTGGGATTACAGGCATGAGCCACTGTGCCTGGCTAAAATGCTTTCTAAATGAAAAAAAAAAAAAAAAAAAAAAAAAGAACTTAAATGGCATAATACATAGAGCTCCTTTACCTTCCATATATGAGCTTATCCCTGAACCAACACTTACCCCAGCATATTAACTTACCACAGAAGTAATACAGAATACAATTTTACTTACCAAATAATTTTCTAAAGCAGTTCACAGGAGATTCTTGTTCTTCAATAGTTTCAGCCTCTAATAGTGCCTCCCCAAGGCCAACCTATTTCAAAACAAAATTAATCATTTAAATGTGGTACAGTGTAAGTTGTCAGAATTATATGAAGTAATAGGGTATTTTTTGGTTTTACTTATCATAGTTTGTGTATTCAAACTTCTCTGAGAAACAAATAATCACATTTTAAAGACTAGAAAATAAAAGAATGCACTAGCAACACCGCCTAGAAGGCCAAATTCACCTGAATATCTGACCACTCTGTCTTGGTTGCTCTCCTCAGAATTAGCAAAATTCTCATTAACAATTAACAAGAATTAACAAAATGTCTATAGAAATGTAAAGGAAGCACTGGAAGTGGAGTTCAAATGATAATACAGCGGCAGAGATTTTCTAGGAAATAAACTGACTTTATTCTCTACATGAAGGTGTATCAATACAGACAGAACTTATCACATTCAAGGTAGGTTCTCAGGAGTAGCCAGTCACATAGTCTGGTGTGGACTGGACAGAAAGGTCCGAGTTTTGAGGCTACCTTTCCATTACTGATGTCCTAGCATAGTAGATGGTCCCTTACCCAACTCCACCAAGAGGTTGGTATCAAATTCCTTGCGACCACATAGGGATGACCCACAGTAGGAGTGGAAAAGTGTGAAAGATTGCATCACACAGAAGGTAAAAGGTCAGAGTCATGACCAGAAAGTATGCTGGGCTGAACAGCATCCCAAATTCATATCTCCACAGAGCCTCAGAATGTGACCTCATATATATCTAACGTTTTTAAAAAAAATAGTGTCTTTGTAGACATCATTAGTAAAGATGAAGTCATATTGGATTAGGGAGGCCCTCAATCCAATGACTAGTGTCCCTATAAGACAGCTATTTACATACACTTGTAATCTCAGCTACTTGGGAGGCTGAGGCATGAGAATTGCTTGAACCCGGGAGGCAGAGGTTGCAGTGAGCTGAGATCATGCCACTGCACTCCAGCCTGGGCAACAGAGTGAGACTCTGCCTCAAAAACAAACAAACAAACCGAAGGCCATGTAAAGACACAGAAAAGGAAGAGGAGCACGTGATGATGGAGCAGAAATTGGAGGAGTGATGCAGCTACTTGCCAAGGAATGCCAAAGATTGCTGACAACCATCAGAAGCCAGGGAGGGCTAAAGAAAGATTCTTCCCTAGAGCCTTTAGAGGGAACGTGGCTCGGCCAACACCTGCCTTTTAGACTTCTAGCTCCCAGAACTGTGAGAATCTTTCTGTTGTGTTAAGCTACCCAGTCTGTGGTACTTTGTGATGGCAACCCTAGGAGACGAACACAAGCAAGCATGGAAATGATTAACCAGGGCCAGACGCCAGAAAAATGGCATGGGAAAGAATAAGCCACAGAGTTTGAATGAATCAAATGAATGGTTTGAATCCTGACACCTCAATGGCTATGGGAAGTTACTAAAACATGAAATGCTCAGTTTCATCATCTGTAAAGCAGGATACTATTTACTTCAGGGGATTTAGGAAGATAAGAGATACCTAGCACTTACCCATGCCTGCCAATGGCATTCGATAAATATTACAGATGACAGGAAGGGGCAGGAATAGAATGAAGACAGTCTCCATAGGGCAGAAGCACAGGAAAAACGCATCTATTAAAACTATAAACCGTACTCTAAATTCAAAAGCACATTGTAGAATACAACAGAAAAACATAACTTTTTACCGTATAGATTGCAAATAAATAGTACTGTCATAGCTTGGTGATTTTCCTGATAAAACAGCTTCTCCTGGAAACTTATAAAATTTGGTAAAAAAAAAAAAGGTCCTTTTCGCTTTACTAACAAAGAACCTTTTATTTCAGTTCACTCTTATCCAGTGCTCTTCAGCAACTTCCGCTTTGTAGTTCCTTGCCATACCGACAAATCTGTTGATGACCCGTTATATTTTATATTCAGAGAAGGGGAAGAATCAAATCTCACCCCATGCTGCACCACCGTTTCAGGGAAGCGCCTCAAAAGTAGAAGCAACATTTCTGATCGTTCTAACGTGTTGAAGCATTGTTCCGTGACCTTTAGTAACATTTCACACTGGACCCGGCCAGGAAGAGTTTCAAACAAACCTGTACAAAACATATTTCACTTTTAAAAGTTTCATGCGGACAGAAAAGACTGCAGCACAAGTGCTGAGTAAGGCATTTTCATGTACAGAACAGTAAACATACATGTGAAATCACTGGTTAAGTTTCACCTACAACGTGGCAGGCTCTGGGGCTCAACAGTATCAAGCACAGGATGTTTGCTGAATAATGGTGACATATTTGGAGGACTGATCAAATTCAAAAAACAGTGTATGTGAATGGTCACAAGAGTGCCTGCTGCAGGTTGCGATAGAGCGTGTGCTTGTTTAAGTAAATGACCTAAGCATCTACTTGCTATTTTAGGTAGAATCTGAAATCTTTGATTGGCTACAGCAACAAACACAGAGAAGTTTAAAGAGAAAGCTTCTAAATTACTAAAAGCTTCTCTCCTATTTTGCGGAGATCTGGTTAATCTATAGTGGCTATCTGGTTACTGTAAAACCTGTTAAAAATATATGCAATTAATTCCCTGTCTCACTGATAGACCTATATCCTTTAAAGAAGCTTAAGGGGTTCTAAGGAAACAGTCAAGGAACTGAGTGACATTATTACAGACTCTGGTAGAGAAGAATACATACACATGGTTACCAATACCCCAGGTGTGACTTTTGGTGTGTGAAATTACTATCTATGATTTGGTATTCCAGAAATGGTAACTTATACACCATTTTTCTTACTTCTTAAAAATTGGGTTTGTTTGTCCTGTGAATCATTCCTTAAGGCTGATGTAATAATGCTGATTTCTCTCCACACCACCGGCTGGTCTGGGAAACTCACAAACCTATTTTTAAAATAAATACATTAAATTAAAATGTCAAAGGCTATACAGTATCCAAAAGAAAAAAACACTAGCATTTGGTGAAAAAGTTTCCTTTATTCCAAGTGAATGCTTAGATGTGCCAAAACAAACCAAAATAAAAATGTAAAAATAAAAATTATTTGATTTATAAAAATCAGAGTATTCACATAAGTCTTTAGGGGGTTTTATAGGTGAAAAGACAAGTAACCATATTATAGAAAGAACTCCTAAAAGTCAACAAGAATAAAACAAACTATTTGAAAGAAAAAACAGGCAAAGGCAAATTACAGAATACACATAGCCAAAGAGAATAGTTGAAACAATCCTGAATCTTATTAATAGTACGAATAGTACAATCTAAAAAAAATAGCAAGAGACCATTTTCTCCTATCACAGTGGCAAGAACTATAAAGAGACTAGTAAGTCAATGTTGGGAAGGGTATGGGAAAATGTACTCTTTATACACCATTAATGGAAGCGCAGATTGGGATTGCACATTTTAGGGACTAATTTTGTAGCGTATCAAATTTTTAAATTTGCATACCCTTTGACTATGAAAAGGTCTTAGAATCTATTCCACAGAAAAAGGACAAAATATGACTATGAAATTGTTCACACACTGAACATAATTCCAAATAATTTAAAAATATCTATTTAAATGTCTACCAAGAAAAGAGTGGCTATGAAATACTACACAGGCATGAAAAATAATGAAGTAGATCTCTACATATTGATAAGGGAAGGGATCCATTACAGTGGATAAAGAAAGCATGCTGCAGAACAGGGGTAGTATGGTCTCATTTTTGTAACCCCTTTCCCTCCAAAACCTATTTATGTATTATGTATATACATATAGATACACTGCCCACAAAACTTTGGTTGAGTTTAGGAGGCACTTTCCTTTGTATTCTCTGTTACAAGTAGTGTTTGAATTTTTGCAATGAGCACATATTATTTCTAGATTAAATTATGGAACAGAAGTTTTAACAAGGATAAAACGTAAGAATAAAAACTAGACTCTTCTGCAAAAGCCATGTCAGCAATTCATGGCAGACGTGGACTCCTTACTAGGCTTGTTTTAGGTATCGAAGATGTATAGGAACTTGAAGCTCTTCCCCCAACTCCCACTTCTGCAGACAGAAACAAAACCTCATGGAGAGATTCAGTGCAGTAAAAGTGATGTCAAGCATCCCACTCACATGTCGTACAGCAGCCTCCCGGCGGTGGCGGTCCGCTCTGCATTCCGCTCGATGGTGTACATCTCATACTGCAACACACATCAAGCACCCTGGTCACTCACCCCTGCCCGGGCGGCTCCCCGCTCATCCAGCATCACTGGTGGCCCCTCCCGCAGGAAGGGAGGCCCTGAAAGTGAAGCTCCACCTGGTGACACAGCGCCACATACATGGCAGCCTGGCCACTGGGCTTACAGTGTGACCCTGGGGTTCGCTTGCAATCGCTGGCTCCCAGGATTAAGTGGGATAACGTTTCCAAAGTCGCAGGCACTGAACAAACGGCTGCCATTATGCTGAATGAACGAGCGAATGGCCTTTTGCTAGTGGCGATCATATGCTGTCTAGGCCAGGTGGCACGCAGAGCCCCAGGGACCCAAGCAAACCCCAGTCCCTCAAGTGCTGGGAATACGGCTCCAGGAAGGTGTAGGAGCAAGGCCAGGGAGAGGTGGAGGAGCAAGGTGTAGGATGGGAGGAGAGAGAAGGAGTGGGAGGGGAGAAAGGAGGGGGCCGGGCAGGAGGCGGCTGCCCCAAGGCAGGCACAGCTCTGGGCCAGCGCAGCCCGGGAGACCGGAGCAGCGCGCACCTCCCCGCAGGGCCGCCACATGCACGCCCAGGACCTCACCTGAATGTTAAAGTCTGTCGGGTAGAGGCTGCGGGCCGTGATCAGCCACGCCTTGGCTGCCCACAGGTCTTGCGGCACCAACTCCCGGGCTCGCTGCACCAGGAACTCGCAGTCCCCCTGGGCCGACATGACCCGGGCGCTCTCCAGCGGCCAGCCCGAAGCGGCCGGAACGTCCGGCTCTGGACACTCAGCCTCCACCAGCGCCGCCACCACCGCCGCCACCGCTGGGGAGGCTACTGCGCATGTCTGGAGGCGCCCGGAGGCCCGCAAAGTGGATCGGGAAAGCTTTTCCGGGCTTTGCGAGCAGCCTTCTCCCCTCGGCTCCTCGTGATCGCCCCGTCCTCTCCTCTCTGAGAAGCCAAAGCGTTTGAACCGCTACCAGGTGACCTCCAAAATGCGGAGAAGTGGATTTTTATTCCTGCGGGCTGCGGCATGACCCTGGTGAAGTCAGGGAGCATGCGCGGGAGCGGGCAGGCGCTAGGCCACCTAGTCATTTTCATCCAATCTTGGTATTGCAAGGTTTTCCGGGGGCGGGGAGACGGGCGGTCCCCGGCCTGGAAGGCTCGGAAGAAGTTTGCGAGAAACAGCGGAGAGTGTCAGGGAGGCGGCGGGAAGGTCTTTTCTCCCTGGCCGGCCTGAAACACCTTCCCTGGGGGCTGCTGCCTGCGACTTACTCCCCGGCTTCGATTTACGCGAAGACTCCTGGGGCTGGTGGGGGTGATCGTGCAAAGCGTGAGCTCCGCGGTTCCTTCTCTTTCCGAAATCCGTCCGCATTTTGTTACTTTACCTGTATTCACCGGTTTCTCCAACAAACATTTTCTGGGGAATGAAGTACTTGGAAAGCGCTTTGGTGGATGCTGTCCGTGGGAGCTGCGAAGATGACTAAATCCCTGACCCAGCAAGGGTTTAAAATGTTTTATGTGTTGTGGACGTGCAACCCACAGATAACTACGCTGTTATAATTTTCTCCTCTAGCCAGAATCAGTGTCCTTTTCATCAAAACTCCAGGTTCGTTTTCCATCTGAGAGATTAAAAACATCTAAGAGAATCTCCATCGAAGAGATTCTCGTGCCGCAGCCTCCCGAGTAGCAGGGATTACAGGCATCCGCAACGAAGTGCACGCCCGACTTATTTCTGTTTTTTTGGTAGAGACGGGGTTTCACCACGTTGGCCGGGCTGGTCTGGAACTCCTGATTTCAAGTGTTCCTCCTCCCTCCGCCTCCCAAAGTGCTTGGATTACAGGCATGAGCCACCACGCTGGGCTTCAAAAGCACTGTTTAATATCTCCTAATTATGCACAGAACAGCATAACTGTATGATTAGTTTATAGGCCAGGATTACTCTGTGATACAGTTATTTTGGCTTTGTACAATAAAAGAGGGTAGAAAATTGGATTTAAACAGAGCAGGATAATTTTTATCTTATAAAGTGTAGAGCATAAAAGCAGATTGCTAGCTTGAATTTTTAAAATTGTTTCATTGATGTTAACATATGAAGTATAAGAATTTTCAAATGGTAAAAACAACTGATTTGGTCATTAAACTTTCTGGTTTTGGTCTTTACCAAGAATAAAAAAGCAACTCAATGTTCCTGAGCCTAGTATTCTGTGGAATAATAATTGTAAGTTAAATTTTTAAATGTAGGGGCCAAATAAGGGAATTCTGGTTTTGTTTGTTTTTGAGACAGAGTCTCGCTCTGAAATCCAGGCTGACACTGAGTGTGGTAGCTTGATCATGGATCACTGTAGCCTTGACCTCCCAGGATCAAGCCATCCTCCTGTCTCAGCCTCTGGAGTACCTGGGACTACAGGTGTGTGCCACCACATCTGGCTAATTTTTAATTTTTTTGTAGAGTTAGAGCCTCCCTATTTTGCCCAGGCTGATCTTGAACTCCTGGGCTTAAGTGATCCAACTGCTTCAGCCTCCCAAAGTGCTGGGATTACAGGCATGAGCCACCGCACCCAGCCTCTGTATGTATTTTTAGATGCTAACCTTTAGAGGGCCTCTAGATTTTTTGCCAGAATACAGCATAAGGTTTGTGGTTATTTTCTAATCAGCTTCTTGATTTTGAATGATCCCCAGCTAAACATTTGTACAGTGTTATGCTGGCATCTCAAAGTACAGAAGGGAGGTACAACACCAAGTGAGTTTACATCTTTCAGCCTCGTTGCTGTGATCTTGACTCACTGGAGAGTCGAGGAACCCAGCTCATGCTCTTCTCCGTGACAACTTTTAAGTCACATAACATGGCCTGCATCTAGCACCCGGCTTCAGTTTCCACAAGCTCAGTTCAGGGATTTGAATTAAACTCTGCATTGGTTTTTCCCTTCCAATTCAACATCTTCAAACTCCAAGTTTCCTAACATAAACTCTTAACTCCCCTGCCCTTGACTCTATCCTTGGTTCTTTTCAATAATTTCCTCCTTTCTCTTCTCCGTGATTTTACTTTCATGGACCCCTATCCCCTTGACACCTACATTTTACTCTGAGTGTGTCTTCCACCTTTTGGGCTTATTCCTCTCCCACTCATGCCAACCCCTGTGCTCAGACATTCAATATGTTCATGTCTTTGCCTTCTTATCCTGCCACCATATCCACTTTATAATTTTTAATTTTTAACTTTTTTTTGAGGCAAAGTCTTATTCTCTCATCCAGGCTGGAGTATAGTGGCATTATCTCCGCTCATTGCAACCTCTTCATCCTGGGTTCAAGTGATTCTTGTGCCTCAGCCTACAGAGTAGCTGGGATTACAACCACATGTCACCACACCTAGCTAATTATTGTGGTTGTGGTAGAGACACATTTTTGCCATGTTGGCCAGGCGGGTCTCAAACTCCTGGCCTCAAGCCATCCACCTGCCCCAGCATCCCAAAGTGCTGGGATTACAGGTATGAGCCACTGCCCCAGGCCCTTAAACTCCAAGTTTGAACTCCGCAGCCCTTTTCATCTTTCGAGACTTTCAAAACTGTACATCTGATCGTGCGTGTGTGTCTGCGTGTGTGTATGTGTTTTGTTTTTGAAACAGTATCTTTCTCTGTCACTCAGGCTGGAGTGCAGTGACATGATTGTGGCTCACTGCAGCCTCAACCTCCAGGCCCAAGCTATCCTCCCACCTTAGCCTCCCAAGTAGCTGGGATTACAGATGTGTGCCACCACAGCTGACTAATTTTTTAATTTTTTGTAGAGATAGGGTCTTACAATGTTGCCTAAGCTGGGCTTGAACTCTTAGGCTCCAACAGTCCTCCTGCCTAGACCTCCCAAAGTGCTAGGGTTATAGGTATGAGCCAGCACACTGGGCCCAGATACGTATTCTTTTTTGTTTGTTTGAGAGGGAGTCTCACTCTGTCGACCCATCTGGAGTGCAATGTTGTGATCTTGGCTCACTGCAACCTCTGCCTCCTGGGCTCAAGCGATTCTCCTGCCTCCACCTCCTGAGTAGTTGGGACTGCAGGCTTGCACCACCACACCCGGTTAAGTTTTGTATTTTAAGTAGAAATGGAGTTTCACCGTGTGGACAGGCTGATCTGAAACTCCTGATCACAAGTGATCCGCTCACCTTGACCTCCGAAAGTGCAGGGTTTTACAGGTGTGAGCCAATGCCCCTGGCCCTTATCCGTATTCTTAAAACCCTTTGATGGTTTCCAGTTGTGCTTCCATGGGGTTTGCAGCTAGCTCTCTGCCCCATCATTTGCTAGAAGCCTCCCACCCAGAAATTGTTTCCGTTCTTCAATGTACTATGTTCTTGGTCATTTCCACACATTCATGTGTACTATTTGCTGACATCACCTCCACTCTGCCCAGAACACTGCCCCCTGCCGGCCTTATTGGACTAATTGAGTTTCAGATAACACTTCTCAGGGAAATCTATTCTGCCTGCCCCCTCCTCTGTTCCCCAGTCCTTATACTGTTATCATAACTGATGGTTTACTAGACAATAAGTTCCATCAGGACATGGACCTGACCTGTCTTTTATGCTGTGACTTCCCAGCCCCTAAAATATGCCTGACACTTATTGGTAGTAGGCTAGCAATAAGATTTTGGTGAATTTTAAATGTCTTGACCCTTTGCCTACAAATATACATAAAGCCTCTAATGTTATACAAATTTCATTCTGTGAAGTTTCAAGGGATAAAGAGTCCCTTTTGTTCAACGCCAAAATCCTCACCTGTGTTTCTAATCCCTTAGCTTTCCTAAAGAATCTGTTATCGGCTATCCCCACTCTATAGTTTCTGTCTGTTTCTCCTGGTACCTTCCAGTAGAGTATGTGTTTGTGTTGAATTACTGCTGTTTCCTGGTGATTACAGTAGATGTTGTGTGCCCTGCTCCGATCGCCTTTGCCAGGCAGTATAACCACTCCCTCCAGCTGTCAGTATTGGCTGCTAACTGCCACAACTGCTCGCTTCTATGGAGAACTGTCCTTAGCTTCCTGGATGAGTTAGCCACTCCCAAGGTGGTAATACACAGTGAAAACGTTAGTGACCCTGCCTCAAAGGGGGCAAATATGTGACATACTTTGTGTTTCAAAGCCCTTCCTGGTGGATGGGGCCGAGGCTGGATCTGTCTGAGACCACACACATACTCAGCTCTTTCCTCTTCTCTACTCTTCCCTGCTTTGTAGGTTTTTCTTGAAAAGCACTTTCTCAATAAATCATATGCTTCCAGATCCCTGTCTCAGGCCCTTCTAGGAAGCCCAAACGAAGTTAATAGCTGTTACTGGACATGAGGTGCTTCTGTGAATCCTCTATGTTCCAGGTATAGCCCCTCCTGTATCGCTCATGTAACAGCAACTGTTTCCTCTTAGCAGGATCAATCATCTGAACCATAAAGTAACACCTTTCTTTTGCGCCTGTTAGTTCCAAAGTATAAGAAGCCCAGATGCTCAGGAAGCAGTTTCACTTCCAATTCAGTGGAAGCAGGACTATGTTTCCTGTGAAAACCCTCCTCCCTTGGGAATTAGAGGTTTTTCCAAGTCCTTAGAGCACGCAATTGGGGAAAATTCCATTAGTGGATTATTATTAGTATCTTTTGAGAGGCTACTAGCTCCTTCCACCTTTGGCTGATTTAAAGCATATACTTCTCTACAGGATGGTACCCAGTCTTAAAGGATATGGCTTAGCTGACACCACAACTAAGCCTCCAGGAGACCATATCCCACCATTCTCTCAGGCCAGTTTACTTGGTCTTACCAAGTAAATGGATTAAGTCTGTTCCCTTTGCTATATTTCTTTTGCCATAAAATGAGTTCTTAGGTCTGAGGTGATCTTGCATGGGATACAATGGGCTATGGTTTGAATGTCCCCTCCAAATCTCATGGTGAGGCAATGTTGAGAGGTGAGGTCTATAACAGGTGACTGGGACATGAGGGCTCTACCCTTATGAATGGACAAATCCATTCGTGGATTTATTGGTTAATGGATTAATGGGTTATCATGGGAATGGAACGAGTGGCTTTATAAAAAGAAGAAGAGAGACTCAAGCTAGCATGCTCAGCCCCCTCACCATGTGATACCCTGCACTGC